CAGACTTGTGTTGTTTTAAGACAAAGAGTTTCTGGTAATATTTCACAGCAGCAATAGGACACTAATACAATGTGTTACCTGCAGAAACATCAGATGCACTAATGGTGGATCTGAATCGCCCAGGTGGCTTATTGACTACACATCCCCAAGTACCACCCCCAGATATTAGGATTCATTAGATCCAAGTCCAGCCATCGAGCCTGCATTCTTAACATCCTTCCTTTTCCAATTATCTAGGTTGTACCGATGTAGAAAGGCTAATACTCATGCAAGGAGATGAAATCTAGAAAGATCTGTTGTTTTTCAAAAGCTGGGTGAAGGTTTATAGAATATGTTAGGCAGAAGTACCAACTAAATCATAAATTATTTACAAAATCCTAGACTATTAGAGTGGAACAGACCTTCAAGGATGATCTAGTTCAATGCTTGCATTTTACAGCTGCAGGAACTGATGCACAAGGAATTCCAGGGTTTCTAGTGGATAAACTGTAGAGTTCAAGTCTGGCCCAAAGGAGTCCAGAGCTATAGGACCCTAAGAATTAGGTCAAAAGGTATTTGACTTAAACAACAGGGAAAGCCTGGTTCTTAGGGTGTAATCTTTTGCTTTGTGAAGACACCACTGATTTGCAAGTACATATTTTTTTCTTAGGATTCCAGACAGCTCAGAGCCAAATTAAAAATCCTGTTTTCATGCTGGCATGTCATCTTATTGACTGTACGTTTACATCTTATCTTTTCTCTTGGTCTCATCTTCCTCTTCTCTTCCTCCCTCATTCTCTCTCTCTTTCTAGCTCTCTCTCCCCCTCTCCCTCTCCTTCTCCCTCTCTCTTATTTCTTTCATTTCTCTGGCTTTAAAAAAAGGGCTCTATTGTTACATTTTATAAATTCTTATAGGTCATCTTGGGAATGAAAAGAGGGGTGTATTTTTTAAATTCTCAGAGCAGTCTCTTAAAATACGGGATAAAGGCATTAAAATAAACCTTGAGCATAAAATGACTATAGGGAGTCCTCCCTGAACTGCTCCTGCAGTAGGATCTGGGAGAAGACAGGTTTCTCAAGGTTTACAGCTCAAACCCTGGTAGACCAAAACTCTAAAATGGGGCACGTTCTCAGAGATTCCTACAAGAGTTTGCGTTTATGTGGAAAAAAACAAAAGAACTTGGGAATGTGTATGTGAGTGTGTGTGCATGTGTGTGCGTGCAAGTGTGCGTTGGAGATACAAAAGGATAATGAGAGCACTCAGAAGAATAATTAAAATTTTTTTTCTCTACAAGGCAAAAGTTTTCAAGGGCCTAACCCAGTAGAGTTTCCTAAACATGACTCTGTAACTCCACGAAGAAGCCCCCAAACTCTCAGCACTGAGAGGTGAGCTTTGGAGACAATATTTGAAACAGAAAACATAAGAAACAGGAGGATGCCCCTCAGTGACTCAGAATCTCTTTTATGTGTTTTGAAATATACACAGACAGCAGATGCTGTCAAGACCCCGACATGTTTCCCCTGGCGGCTTCCTTTTTCAGTTAAAGAAACAACTGGATGGAAGAGAGACAGAAAGGATTTCAGAGGAAAATGTGATGTTGTTCAGACAAAAGAGGATCCATGATCAGAATGTAGCAGGTCCCCAGAAAATAAGAGGGGGGAGAAAACCAATACAACCTAGCCTTTTGTTTATTTTATTTATTTTCTGAGATGAAGTCTTGCTCTGTTGCCCAGGCTGGAGTGCAATGGTATGATCTCAGCTCACTGCAACCTCTGCCTCACGGGTTCAGGCCATTCTCCTGCCTCAGCCTCCCAAGTAGCTGGGATTATAGGTGCCCGCCACCATGCCTGGCTAATTTTTGTGTTTTTAATAGAGACAGGGTTTCACCAAGTTGGTCAGGCTGGTCTCGAACTCCTGACCTCAAGTGATCCAATTGCCTTGGCCTCCCAGTATTCGGATTACAAGCGTGAGCCACCGCGCCCGGCCCAATCTAGCCTTTTAAGATGCAGATTTCAGTTGGCAGTCTGCATTGGGAAATATTTTTGTTTCGTTTTTGGAAGAATGAAAGGAGAGAGAAAAAGTGTAGTGCAAAGAGGTTTTGAAATGACTTGCCTTCGGGGCCAGGCTGGGATCTCTTTCTCCAGGCTCACCTCCTCCCACCCCCTTTTTCACTTTATGGTCCAAGCACATCATAGTTCCCTGCACTTGCCATGTTGTTTCAAGCCTCTGTGATTTTACTTGGATTGCTTTGTCTGCCTTAGAATTCTTTTTCTTTCCTTTTGCAAAATCCACTTCCTTTTCCTTTTTCTCTGTCACTTCCTCTGAGAGAACTTTTCTAATAACTTTTGCCCAGTCTGTATAAGGTACCTTCCTGTGTGAGCCAACAATGTCCTGTGCCTCTATCATGGCCCTAATTCTACTGCATTGAAATAATTGTTTATGATTATATTTTCCAACTAGACGGTGGGCTCCTTGTAGACAGGGAGATCTATTACTCATTTTTTATTTCTCCAGTGACAAATGCAGTGCCTGACACATTGTAGGGATGCAATAAGTGTTTACCAAGACTCCTGCAGTAATCACCAGTGAACCCATATGGGAAGAGTGTTCAAAAGGAAAAACAAAAACAAAAACAAGAACAAAACTAGGAGTGCTTGAGGCTGAGTGACAAAATTCAAGCAAAGAACAAGATGGGCTAAGTGGGATGGGCGGGAGGGTCTGTACAGTCCTGATCCCTGGGTGTCCCCTTTCAAACACCAGGAAATTCCATCAGACATCACATAAGCCAAAGTATGAACTTTGACTTACCATGACTGACTCTGAATTTCAAATCCTCCTAATCACTTTAACAATGCAGTAAAATATCCTCTGAAACACCAGGGGTTCAGTCTAGGTCCTGTTATTCTCTGTACAGAAAGCCAACCGCTGAGACATTGATTATTGCCAAGGAAGAAGGCTTTAATTGGGTGCTGCAGCTGAGGAGATGGGAGCTCAGTCTCAAATCCATCTCCTGACTGACTAAAATTAGGGGTTTATATAGCAGGAAAGAAATGTAACTTGGGAGGGGTAAGAAAGCAATCAGGATGAAAAAGTGCTCTGGCTTCTCATTGCCTGAATGTGATGATCTGGTGAGTTTCAGCTCTTTGATAGTTTTTGAGAGGCTGGGGCAGGGGAGCAGGGATCCTTTCCTGAGGAAGGAACTCAGATAAAACAAACGTAAGCTTCAAGCTTTAAGACCAGAAGGGTCAATTTATATGTTTACTGGGGGAAAAAAATGTCAATGTCAGGCGTCTCCCCCAACCCTCAGGCCACAGATGGGTGGTGGTCTGTCGCCTGTTAGGAACCGGGCCACACAGCAGGAGGTGAGTGGTGAGCAAGCAAAGCTTCATCTGTATTTACAGCCGCTCCCCATAGGTGGCATTACCACCTGAGTTCTGCTACCAGCCAGATCAGCAGCAGCATTCGATTCTCATAGGAGCACGAACCCTATTGTGAACTGCACATATGAGGGATCTAGGTTGCCTGTTCCTTATGAGAATCTAATACCTGATGATCTGTCACTGTCTCCCATCATGCCCATTTGGGATTGTCTAGTTGCAGGAAAACAAGGTCAGGGTTACCACTGATTCTACACTGTGGTGAGTTGTATAATTATTTCATTATATATTACAAAGTAATCATAATAGAAATAAAATGCACAATAAATGTAATGTGCTTGAATCATCCCAAATCATCCCCCAACAACCCAGGTTTGTGGAAAAATTGTCCTCCATGAAATTTGTTCCTGGTGCCAAAAACGTTGGGGACTATTGGTCTATGTGACTATTGAGTTGGTTTCAATTCCATGAAGGACCGTGACTGTCTTGATCACTCCTATTTCTGCTGTGCCTGACACATATTTGTCAAATGAATAAATAAATACATAATAAATGAATGTCATGGGCTACCTGTGTGATCTTTGGCAAACTTCATAACCTCTTTCATATATAATTGTTTCATATATATATGAAACATATATATTAATATATATATTAAACATACATGTATATGCTTCCTCATTTATGACATGGGGATGATAATTCCTTAGTCAAAACCCTAACAGCAATCCTTGATTCCTTTTTCTCATCGCCTGTAAGCCAATCCCTAAATAAGCTCTGAGAACTCTACCTCCAAAACAGTCCAAATTCATCTCCATCCCTTCATCTTTCCTATCACCCCATCCCAGCCAAGTCCTTTCATCTTCTGAATGGTTGCAAAGCTTCCTAATTCATTTTCTTGCTTTCATTCTTTTCCCCTACCCATAATCTATGTATTCACTAAAGAAGAGCCGGATTGATTTTGTAAAATATAAAACAAATCACAGCACTCCTCTTAGAATGGAATAAAACTCCCGACCTTGGTTTACCCAGTCCTTCATGACTGTGCTCCTGTCGGTACCTACGGCTGCATCCCCTTTCATCTTCAATCCCTAAACACACAGGACCTTTTTGCTGTTTCTTCAACTCACCACGATCTTCTCAATTCAAGGCCTTTTGCACTCGCTGTAACCTCTGCCTGAAATGCCCTGATTTTCACATGATTGTCTTATTCTTGTCATTCAGACTTCTTACCTTAAAAGGCACCTCCTCAGAAAGGCCTTCCCCAGTGAGCTGCTCTAAAATAGTCACTATCTTTATCACATCAGATGATTTAATAATCTTCAGAGATTTGTTCACAGTCTTCTATTTTTATTTTATTTATTTGTTTGATGTTCCTGGTCTCCCTCACCAGGCTGTAACTCCATGGATAGAAAGTACCTTGTAATTCACGGCTAGATCCACAGTACCTAGAACAGTTCTAATAATTTATAAATATTGGTTGGATAAATATGTAAATCCCTGCATCTTAATGTAGTTTTGAAGATTAAATGGTATAATTCACGTAAAGCACTTCTTAACCCACTATCTGACACGTACATAACATGCAACAAATGTAGTTTCTTAAATCATTTATTACTTTGCATTAAATAAAAAGTTCTCACCTTGAAGTTTCTATTTCTATATCAATTCTGTCAAAACCACTGGGTGTTGAGATGGAGGAGGTCCTCCAGGCAGAATTGATTTATTTCTGCTTTCTATGTTTTGAGTAGCGCTACACGCCAATATTCTGCTACCTGTAGAGGAAAGAAGAAGAGGGATGTAAGTCAGGATTATGCTCAACTGCAAGTAACAGAAACCAAGAAAAGATGATTTAAACAGGCAAGGGGTATTTTTTTCTCACACAGCAAGAAGTCAGTCTAGGGCTTATACCCAGAGCCCTTCTGTCTTCCTGCATCTTCATCCTTCTTTTTAGGGCTTCTGAGTATGGCCACATATACTGCACATTGCACAGCGTCAGGCAGTGGCACCATTCACTTCTTACTGTATATAAATAGCATTATCTGGTATTATACAATATATGTCATATATGTATTTCTGGTTGCAAGATTGATGTTGCGTCTCCAGGCGTTGCACCCAAATTCCAAACAGTAAAAAATCAGATGCAAGAATAGCTCTGTTATTTAAAACACACACACACACACACACACACACTCACAAACAACTTTCCTGTGGCTACTGCTAGATTTAATGAAGTCCAGAGAGGTAAGACTTAGCTGAGGAAAACTGCTTCCCTGAACAATATCAAGTTTTATTACCTAGCAAACAAGTGGGAGGGATAACTGTTAGGTAGGCAATTGGCAATGTCTTCAAGAGAAAGACTGCATTAGATAGTTGACAGCTTAATGAAGAGTGTTGGTGTGACAAAAGAAACTGAGGAAGGGTGGATATTTCAGGGACTCTGGGAAAGGTCAGAAAAAGGAAAAATCAGTTATTCAACTCAGTGGGCCAAACCCAAGAAGGCATGTTTAATCACAAATTCCAAAGGGAACTTTGATAAGAATTAAAATCAGTCACAGTTCTGCTTCCAGTCAACATGGATTAACAGGGACTAGATTTACTTTCTCACCTGAAACAACCCCCCTCAAAAAAAAAAAAGAAAAGAAAAGAAGTAAAAGGAATGAAAAGAACAAAGAAAGCAAACCGTATCAGACATGTGAAGTAATGACTTTAAAGAGAAGTATCTTGCCTCAGCAGTGGAAAATAGCCCAAATTAGCCCAAGACTGACCACTGTTCTAGTCCTGCCTAATAAATATTAAAAGCAAAATCTGATTGAATAAAACTTTTCCAAGTCATTTAACTGTGCCCCATAACAAAACTCAAGAATACTTACAAAAGTAGAAAGATATTCAGAATCCAACAAGGCATAATTTACAATGACTGGCATCTAATCAAAAATTAACAGGCATATAAAGAAGCAGAAAAACATGACCCACAATGAGGAGAATAATTAAATAATCGAAACTGATCCAGCACTGGCCTAGATGTTAGAATTAACGTGCAAGGACATTAAAATAGTTATTATCACTGTATTCAAGATATCAAAACTTTGAATAGATACATGGGAAATAGTAAAAAGACACAGACATTCGAGATGAAAACTACAATGTATGAGATTTTAAAAACAGTAGATGGAATTAATGGGAGATTAAATATGATAGAAGAAAAGACTTGAAGACATAGCAAGAGAAACTATCAAAAATGAAATTAAAAGAGAAAAGATCATTTAAAAATTTTAGCAGAGGCCGGGCGCGGTGGCTCACACCTGTAATCCCAGCACTTTGGGAGGCCGAGGTGGGCGGATCACAAGGTCAGGAGATTGAGATTATCCTGCTAACACAGTGAAACCCGTATCTACTAAAAATACAAAAAAAAAAAAAGAAAGAAAAGAAAAAGAAAAAATAGTTGGACGTGGTGGTGGGCGCCTGTAATTCCAGCACTTTGAGAGGCCGAGGTGGCCTCCTGCTAACATGGTGAAACCCTGTCTCTACTAAAAATACAAAAAAATTAGCCAGGCATGGTGGTGGGCACCTGTAGTCCCAGCTACCCAGGTGGCTGAGGCAGGAGAATGGTGTGAACCCAGGAGGCGGAGCTTGCAGTGAGCCAAGATCGAGCCACTGCACTCCAGCCTGGGCAACAGAGCGAGACTCCATCTCAAAAAAAAAAAAAAAAAAAAAAAAAAAATTTAGCAGAATGTTAATAAGCTCTAAATGAAGGGATGAATTCAAACAGGCAAATATATGCTTAATTAGATTCCCCAAATGAGGGGACAGAGGAGAAAATATTTGAACAAGAGTTGCCAGAGCCAAAATTTCAGAGCTAGTTTAGATAGGAAATTGTTGTGAAAGCAAATTAGAATAAGCAAGGGTAGGTGACATCGCTTCAATTTTTCACATCTGTGGGCCAGCAAGTGTATGTTTTCCAGATCAATGAGCCCACTTAAACAGTCAGAAGCAGGGCATGAAAACACAGCACTAAGCTCTCCTTTTCTTTTCAAGAAGAGTTTGTGCATATCTGCTCCCATAAAATGGAACACCCTCCTCTAGACCATCTCATTCTTCAGAAACAGGACACTTTCATGCAGAGCTTGGGTCACTCACTGACCCTTCCTTGCCTTGTCTTTGTGATTCTCTGTGAGTTACACTAAGAAGAACAGGCAATGGTCAGTGTTTCTTTGTCCTCTCCTTGTTTTTCTTGCTATGACACTAGCTGACCTGTATCAGATATTCTGTGTAAGGAATATCTTAGATCACCGTGACTTTTGCTTATCTGTGGCTGTGTTCTCTAAGGCTGTTGTGTTACTCAGGGTGGGCTAGGCTTTGCTGTGGTTAAGCAAAAACCCTAAATTCCAGTGGATTGACACATGAAAGCTGATTTCTTGCGCACTCAAAGTCCATTGCAGGCTAGGTACCTCACTGGGGCAGTCCCTTTCAAGTTTGCTCAGGTATCTGATCTGCTTTCTTCCTGTGGTCGCCTCAATTGATGCGTTCCAGGGTTGTCACTGCAGGGGAAGCAGAGAGGGACAGTTGTGCAGAGACTTTTTCCACTTCACCTTGGAAGGAACACACACTCATCTACTTTCCAGCATTTGTCAATGCTTATATTCCCATGAGGAAAAAGGGGAGAATCAGATCTAGAAAAACATGAATAATTTAAAAGAACGGTGTTTCCTAAATTATGTACATAGATTGCAAGTTTGTGTGGATGTTAATAAATTCGCATTTTAAAACATTTAAAAAATGTTATACAATGTAGCAAGAACTTGTGATGGCCACACCACGTACCTTCCGTCCTCCCTATTTCAGCACTGCCGTGGCTGACAGTTCCATGCTCCACTGTCAGCCCCCTATTAAGGGTGTGTTGCGTTTTCTCTCTATCAGCTGATCAACTTAGAAATACACAGAAAAACAAACAATAAGTGATGTGAGTCCGTGGATAAATGCCTCAGCCTTTCTATCCTCCAAAAGGACAAATCTGGGATGCATTCTAGATGCGTCTTTAGGGTTCCAGCAAGACTGAACCCCAGTTGTCCACAGCAGTAACTGGTTCATTAATACACTTTGATTGGCTGTCCTCCTATCCTGCCTCACTTTTCCCACTTCCTCACTTCTCTTTCCTGAAATCTTCTCTCAGTGAACTAACTGTGCTGAAGTCCTTGTCTTAGGGTCTCATTTTTGGGGCAAGAAAGCTAAGATTTATGGTGTTTTCTTGCCCCTGAAATGAGATCTTAACACAAGGACTTTAGCACAGTTCAATGCGTGGTGAAATAAATGTGGAAAATATTGAGTTAAGTGTGTTTGGTTAATATGTTTTCTTTGTTACAGAATTTTCAGAGCCTTTAATGTATGACTCTCTGATATGCTTTGGCTGTGTCCCCACCCAAATATCACCCTGAATTGTAATAATCCCCATGTGTCAAGGATGGGGCCAGATGGAGACAATTGAATAATGGTGGCGGTTTCCCTCATATTTTTCTCGTGGTAGTGAATAAGTCTCAAGAGATCTGATGGTTTTATGAAGGGCAGTTCCTCTGCACAAGCTCTCTTGCCTGCTGCCATGTAAGACGTGTCTTTGCTTCTCCTTTGCCTTCCACCATGATTATGGGGCCTCTCCAGCCATGTAGAACTGTGAGTCCATTAAATCTCTTTCCTTTATAAACTACCCAGTTTTGGGTATGTCTTCATTAGCAGCAAGAGAACAGACTAACACACTCCTCATACATTAAATTCTATAGATATTAAATTCAAAAGAAGAATACCGAAATTAGAGTTTCTCTATCTTGGATTGTTAACTTTTATTCCCCAAAGCAACTTTCAGAATTAACACCTCATAACACACATATGAGGTATGCCTAATCTAAAGTTTTTATAACTTTTCTGATTTTTTTTTCAAATCTCCTATTCTGAGAAGCAACTTTTCTTATTTTTGAATAAATAAAAATATTAAAAAATTTTAAAGGTGTAGAAGAGTAAGTAGGGGAAAGAAAAGGATTTAAAAATGCATAAAAATACAAGCACCTCATTTGGTTCCATCAAGAAGAGAGAACTGGCTACAATATTCGTGCCTAGCCCCAAGAAGGAGATGTTCAGTAGCAGATTCCAAGAGGTGACAAGAAGTGGCCAAACATTTCCTGAAAAACTTCATACAGCTTCTATTGGAAGATGGTACCATGTACTCTTTAGTTGAAAAGAGCAAACTTCCCACCCATCCCTCCCCTTAATTACTGTGCTGAATGGTGAAATTAAACCCAGCAGGTAGATACCTCCTATATAGATTTCTGAAGTTATCTCATACTCTGGTTAATTGTGTCAACCTGTAGAGGCTGATTAGCATAATTAATCTTACCCTGTGATTACCCCAAGGAGGAAGGTGTTCTGGATGCACAGGTGGGATGTGGTGAATGAGTGACTGCCTCTGTCTCCAAGGGGCAAAGCAGCATGGGTGGGAGAAGGTTTGAGAACAAGAGACAGAGTCATTTGGGTGCACACAGAACTGGATTTTATAGGACAGAAGAAGATGAGATGATAGGCAATCTGCACAGGTTGAGGTTCAAAGGCCAGGGTGTGCCCACCCCACATTTCTTTATGTATTTGCAGAGTTCCATTTCTTTCTCTTTCTCTTTCTCTCTCTCTTTCTCTCTTTCTTTCTTTCTCTCTCTCTCTTTCTTCCTTTCTTCCTTTCTTTCTTTTCTTTCTTCTTTCTTTCTCTCTCTCTGTCTCTCTCTCTCTCTTACCT